TACCCTCCCCCCTGTTGGATCCTGGGACATCTCTGCTGGCTGAGGAGCCCAGGGTGGCCAGCCTTGACTTCCCAGAACTTAGTGTGAGAACCCCAGTGTCTGTCTGGCCCTTGTTGTGCTCCCAGGGAGGGTGCCTTATTTCTGAGGTACCTGCCTCTGCCATTTACATTCCCAGGGGTGGATGCTGCAAAGGGCACCCCTTTTCTTCTGTTTAAGTCAGAGGGGCATGGAGAAATCCCCCAGCTGTTGGGTCACATTCCAAATGGCTGCAGCAGCAGGGGCTGGGCAAGGCCCAAATAGGAGCCAGGAGCCACACCTTGGTCTCATTATGGGTGCAGGGACCCAGAAAGGTTATAGGAGTCGGCTTCCAATGAGACAGGGATGGTGACCTTGGCAGGGATGTGGGTAGGGAGAATAGAGAGCTCTGTGCCAATCCGCAGGCTTGGGAGGAGCCTGCACCAGGACACAGCCCAGGCTGGGGCAGGTGAAGTAGAGGTGGTATATGGCAAGGTGACAGCCAGCCATAGAATGGGACACAGATTGCCACGTGAGTGGAAAGCCAAAGGGGGAGGTTGATATCTAGATATGAGGTGTGAATGAGGGGTCTGTGACCCCCACCAGGGTGGAGATGAAGGGGCAGCAGTGGGCAAGAGCCAAGCAGCCAGAAGCTGTGGAGCACATGGGCCAGGGATGCCCTGCCTGACAGCAGAGAGGAAGCAAGCAAGACACCCCCAACCTCCTGCCCATTGCAGAGACCTGTGAGGAAGGTCATCCACACAGCCCAGGGCATGGCAGCTGAGTATGTTAGAACTTCAAGTTGGCCCACGTGACTGCCCTCTTCACGTTGTTGGGTGCTTGGTGGGTCTTCACAATTCCCTACTCCACAGTGGCTTCAGAGTCCCTTTTTGTCCAGTGGCCAGCACTAGAGGCACCAGTGTGGGTATACACCCTGGGTAGAATACCTTAGCTCACCCCTCATCTGTGAATGCTTGGATCACAGGTCAGCCAGGACTAATGCTGGCTCTACAAAGTGGGGGACACACTGGGTCTTGCCCACTCGTGGAGGTCGGGCTTTGTGCTGTCTTGTGGCTGCTAAATGCTTTTCCCTGTTTTTGCTCCTGTCCTGAACTAGAGACTGGGAGCATTGAGAGGTAATGTGGGCGCTGTAGCCAGGGCTACCAGCCAGCCTGGGCCTGCAGTGGTGGAATTTCAGGGGAACAGTGTTCATGGCCAGGCGTGGGCAAAGGGAGGAGGCAGTGGGCTGGGCCCTCTGCAGCAGCATCCGTTTCCTGTTTTTATTGGGGACCACTTAGTGACATTCCTTTATAGAAGGCAGATTGTCATGGGAACGGGATGGATGCCCAGTACATTTCTTTGTCCTGTCCAACGTGTCCGTCTCTGCCTGGATGTGTGGGTTTGCATGGGGATTGAATATGTTGACCAAGGCTCTGCCCTGCAGAGGCAGAGCCGTGGACAGGAACAAGAGACTGGCTGTGGGTACCAAGAGATGTGGGGCCAGAGTGTCCATGGGAGTGGGATGGGGGGTGTCCCTGAAGCTTCCCTTCATTATGGGAGTGGGGCTGAGCTGGTGGATGCTCCCTTGTCAGCTCCTCCCAGCACCCCTGTGGCCACTGGTGCTGGGGTGAAGAGGCTCATGGCTGGAGTGTGGGTGCCAGAAGCTTCTGAGAGATCTCCAGATGGGAGAGTGTCCTTGATTCTCATCTTTGTTCCCTGGGGTTCAGGCAGAGTCAGTCCCTGGATTGGGAGGCAGAAACCATGAGTAGTGTAGGGGTGCATTCTGTTGTGCCATGCAGGTGTCACCCTGAGGCCCAGCTGAGGTTACCCCACAAGGCTGGCATTTTCTGGAGTGCACTTCTCCCTGGGTCTGTGAAAGTTGCTTGGGTCAGTGCTTGCACTTGCTCCTGCAGAGTTGTCAGGGCCACAATGCCCCGAGCCTGAGCTAGAATCTTGTTTTTCTTCTTCACTGTGGGTTGTCACATTCTTGTTTATGCCTTGAATGTCGTGCTGTGCCGGGCTTTGTCTGGACCACTGAGCTGTGGTTTCATCTTCAGCCCCCTTTCTCCCTGGTCCTCAGAACTGTGCTGGTACCAGATCTCGTGGACCCAACAGCTATCACGTGTGCAGCTGGGAATCTGGGTAGAGATTCACTATTGGTGCCTAGGTGCACGCCAAGGTGGGAACACTTTGGTCTAGGTGAGCAGGGGACACTTTGGGGCCGATAAAGTGCAGCTCCCAGGCTTCAACCAGGGCCTTGCCTGGATCTCCCTGCAACAGCTGCTTGATGACACCCTTGCTTGGGGTCTCTTCCTTCTGTCTTAGGTAGAGAGGTCAGATGAAGTGACCCAGAGAAGGTGGGCCTGCTAAGGCTAAGGAGGCCAGGAAAACAGCCCAGCAAAGGTGAACAGGATGCCACCATGAAAGAGTGTCCTGCAGCTGAGTGGGCAGCACTGGGCTGGGTGCTTTGGAGTTCAGCACCGCACGGGTGGACAGCTCAGTGGTTCTGTAGCCTGCTAGTGGAAGTGCTGGCCATGCTAGACCTACAGTGACTGCCTGAGCTCTGGCCCTGCAGAGGACACCCTGGATTCCACATTGTATGTTCAGGGATGGCTGCAGAGTGGCAGAGGCAAAGACAGGGGCGACTGGACTTTCACTTGGCCAGCTCTACTCCCTGCATCTGAGGCCTGAGCAGGGAGAGCTGGGCAAAGGCCTCGGCAAGAAGTGGAGGTGAATGGCTGTGGAATTCTGTCCATTTACACCCAGGTCCACAGGCAGCTATCACTGGGGTCTCCTCTAAAGCATGTGACATGATGGGATGTCCCCCACAGAGGGGAGGAGAGGTTGTTGACTCAGCACATGGGGGGTTGGGAGCACTTGGACATGTGTGGGTGTCCACTGAAGGGGGCAGTGGGAGCTGACAGCCCATGAGACATGGGGCTGTGGGGATGGCAGCTTTGCCTCAGACTTTGTGGAAGGAAGTGGGGTATGCACTGGGGTCCCTGAGGGGGCAGAATATTGGTGTCCACTTTGTGCCAAGGCACATGTGGGAGAGGGCTAGGGACCCAGTGAGACATCTGGCAGGTGACCCTGAGTGCATGGTAGGAGCAGGGACTGCATGGCTCCTGGGATCAGAGGTCTCCCTCTCCCTTCTGCCTCGCCTAGGGTGCTCCCTGGCCTTGCAACACTTCTTCCCCTTGTCTCAGGAGCACTTGAGTCAGCAGGGTCTTGTGGATCTTAAATCTATTTGTGTGCAGTTCCTCTGGGTTCTGGGTGCCCCACTCTTGGCTGGGCCTAGGATCATCCCTGCCCACTGCTCTTTGCCCTCTCACCATGCTTCCACTGCCACCATCTGCCCATTGGTCACCTTGAGGGGTGTATCCTGAGGTGGGCACCCTGAAAGCTCCCCCAGACCTTTGATGAGGAGAAGGAGGCTGTGCCGTAGGAAATGTACTGGCCAGGGCTGGGTCCATACTGAGCACTGTGGGTGCTGCTGCAGGGGTGGAGTGGGTGAATGTAATGTGTGGGGCCTTATCCTGTGTCTGCATTCTTGGTTCCCAACATCCAGCCAAAGGAGCTGGGTTCTAGTGAGGCTATGCAGGCCTCTGAGCATGTGCCAGGGATGAGCCTGCGTGATTCACCCTGACTTGGCAGAAGGGAGCAGAGTAGAGTAGGCATGTCTGTTCTTTGTGACTCTGAGCTGTACCCCAAGACTCACTGGGCTCTGGGGCTTGAGGTGGCCAGACAGGGTTCTTTGATGCACGAATTGTCCTCCTCCTGTGGTCTTCCAACACCAGCTGGGGGTCACAAGCCAAGCTCCTGGAGTGGAAGCAGCAGCTCTGGCTGTTGATGGGCCCAGAGCTCAGAGTGAGGTTGAGCCTGAGAGACCCTTCCCAGTCAAGGTGCAGACCATTTAGGTGGCTGTGGCTGCTCAAGAACAAGGAATCTACCTGGCTTGAGTTTGCAGCACATAAATATTTTTAGAAAACCTTTCCTAAGAACACGGACAGGGTCTCCATGAACTCTCGTGTGTATTCTGGCTGGATGCCAAGCCCCATAGTGTGACCTTGGAGGGGAGGCACCATGCAGGGCTCCCACCTCCTCCCTAAGGGTGAGCCGTGGGCTGTGGGGACTATGGGTTCACAGGCTCAAGTCCGTGATTGAGCACCTTCACTGGTTTGGCCTCTGACAGTGGGCAGCCATGGGTGTGCAGGAGCACAGACCACATGTGTGCCAGAAGCAGGAAGAGCAGCTGTGCTGGGAATCATCCTTGTGACGGGAACACACCTTTCCAGGGCAGCCTCATGCCCCAGGGACCTCCCACCATGGGCCCATTCTCAGTGCCACCAACAAGGAGCTCTGTGCTTAAAGCCCTGAGGGTCTCCAACCAGAGCAGCAGTATCCCCTCCCAGGGCTCTCCTGGGCCTTCTGTGGGCAGCATCCACTGGGATCAGGTAATCAGGCAGTCGGGCCAGTAGGATCCTCGAGGCCTGACTGGAGGTCCTGGCCTGTTGGGGAGAGAACAGTGGCTGAGTGGGAAGAAAGGGTCCTTCGGGATCTGCAGGATGGCAGGTAAGAGGGGGACAGTGTGTGCTGGGTGGGAGGCAGCTCCCCTGTCCTCTGGTGCTGAATCTGCTCAGTGTCAGCCTCACCCAACCAGGTGAGTGACAGGTGCTGGCGCAAGGCCGTTGGATTAGGAGATGCCAAGATTCCCAAGGCGTGAGCAGAGCTGTGCCCCTAGCAGTGGCAGGGAGGGGGCCTTGTGAGAGTGGGGGTGGTGACACTGGGGACCCTGTGAGGGCAAGGAAGTACAGGGGGTGCTTGCAGCTCCCTAAGCCCCACTGCTGGCCATCCTGACCCTAACCCTGACCAGACCTTCCTTGTCTCTGTTGCATGGGTCTCAGACTTGGGGCCACCGTGATGGCTCTGGCCTTGGAGGGTGCTGCTTGGCATTGCTGCTGGTCTCACCACTGTTCTCCTTGCAGATGAGCCTGGAGAATGATGACAAGCGGGCTCGCACGCGCTCCAAGGCTCTCCGAGGTGAGTCTGCGCCAGCCCGGCCCTTGGCTGAGAGAGTGAGGCCCCCCGATCCCCGGCCAGCACCCCCTTCTCCCCCACAGGTGAGGCTAAGGGCCTGCTGCTAAGGTCTCCTCACCCCCGGGGCAGAGACGTGGGTGGGTGGGACCTGGTTTTAAAGATTTCTGCTGGGCCAGGTTGCAGCAGGACCCTCCCTGCCTATGAACACACACATTGCTCCACTTTTGCTGCCTTCTGGGATACAGCAGCCCAGGTCCTGAACCAGTGCCCTTGGGGGGAGTTACATAGGAGCCCCTGGTAGCCCCTGCTGTGGCAATGGAGATCCAAGCAGCTAGCGCCTTCCCCTCCCTGAAGAGCCTGTGGTGGGTGGGGAGGGGCCATGCCCTCTTCTCCCTTGGGGCTAACCCGGACTCTGGCCAGGATCTCCCAAGGGAGCAGCTCTGACTTTAGGGACATTCTCTGTCCTGGAGGACTATGCCACTCCCCCCGGGCCCCCTCAGCTGCTCTCTTTTGCTTCTCTCTCCCCAGGACCCCCGGACACAGCAGGCCCAGACCTCAGGTAGGGGCATCTCCTTGTCAGCACTGGGATTACCCAGGCCCAGGCTATGAGCCAGGAGGCTGCCTCCCCTGGTCCAAGCTCAGCAGCCCCCTCCCTGCCTTTCCCACACTTCACAACAGGAGCATGTTTATGGTCACTGCTGGCCTGGATAGTCACCTGAGTGCTGGGGCAATGAATGTGGACACTTAGGGGTGGCACCCAAGGGGCAGGGGAAGGGGCTTAGGACCCCTTCCCCTGGGCTCCCCTTCACCAGGGCTCCAGCCAAGGCCTCAGACATCTGGAGAAGGCACTGCCTGGTGGTGGGTCCTCAGGTCCAAGGCCATGCAACCAGAAGGGCTGAGCCACTATGGGCTTGGGGGCAGCAAGCTTGAAGCCACACCAGCAAGGGGCCTGCATGGGTCCTGGGCTCCTGCCAGCTCTATCCTCTGTGGTCTTGACCATGAGGTGAACAAGGAGGCCCCTAGACCTGTCTCTGTGGAGGTCTGGAGGTGGAGGCGGGGCATAGAGGACATGTTTTCCTCTCACCAGTGTCTTGGGGCTGTGGGGTCTGCTTAGCTATGACAGGACCTTCACATCACAGGCACGGGCATGTCTGTCCCTGTGGGAATCCTGCCGTGTGTGCAGGCCCGTGGTATGACCCTCAGAGAGCACCCAGCTGTGGAGTAGGCTCCCTTCCTGCTAGGCTTCCTTACACCCTGTCTTGCACAACTGGGCCCTGAGTGCTCAACTAGGACCTCTGCTGGCAGGGCGGGGCATGAACCAGGTTCCCTCACCCCATATTCATCCCTGCATCTCTGGCCCACAGGGAGCCTCCGGTCTGACCCCTCCCATGATTAGGGGGTGGGGAGGTTCATGAGTCCTGGATGCCAGGGTTGTGTGCATGGAGTATGTGGAGGGGGTAGAGACCTCCCCGGGGACCTGATGGGGTAGGGGCTGGGGTCCCTGTGTTGCTGTCCCAGCTGCACAGGCATGGTCCTCTGAGCCTGGGCTGGGGGAGGGGTGGCTGGAGCAGGTGATGTGATCAGGGCGGTGCCAGGGCCCCACAGGCCTCTGCAGCAGCTGTCACCTAATTGCCTGATTAACTTGGTGATTAATCGGCTAATTGGGACCTCGCTTCAAGTCTCTAATAACAAGAAGCTGTATTGTGAGAAGTCTCAAAGCCAGTCTGAGAAAGAGAGGGGGAGACACAGAGACCCAGAGAACAGCTTGGCCCCCTGGCTTCTCCCTCCCTGTCCTTACCCCTCCTTCTTTACTGGCTGGGCCCTGGACAGAGGTCTTGGTGCCACAGCTCTGTGTGCTTGGGGTCTGGTCCTCGCTTGTGAGGTTGGAGGGTGTTTCCTTTGTCCAGGCGTCTGGCCTCTGCTGTTCCACCCCTACCTGACTGTGCTCGTGCCACAGCCGTATATGACCACAGCAATATCCAGGGCTCCCTGCCAGCCTGGGTCCATGGGGCAGATGATGGTTGAGTGAAGAGATGGCCGGGAGCTTTTTTCCACTCCTCTTGCCCCGGGTGGGAATGATGCTGCCTTGAAGAGCTGCCTGGACTCTGGCTGAGATGAGCAGCAACTTTGGGCTCCTGGGATCCCTGCCTCTCTGCCCAGGCTGCAGGTGCCCAAGTGTCCTGTCCCCAGGGGGAGTCCTTCCTGCCTGATGCTAGGCCAGGTAACGCAGAGATCCCTGCCCTCTGTGACCCCGAGCCTCTCCCTTGTGATTCTGGGCTGCCCTCAGGGACTCTGGGCTAACCCTGTGACTCTGGGCCACCACCCATGACCCTGTGCTGTTGCCCAGTGTGCTCTGGACACCGCCAAGCATGAGCTCTCTGTGAGGGCAGCATCAGACGCTGGCCAGTCCCTCCAGACATGGTTGCTGGCAGCAGGAGGCTCTGGCTTGGGAAAGGAAGCTGCAGGTAGTGCAGTGTGAGGAGCCTTGCTTTTGTCACAAGGTCTCCTGCTGGCACATCATGTGCGCTGCAGAGCTGTACAGAGATGCCTGCTCCCAGGTTTGAGGTCTGGCGGTGGGGGGGGCTCAGAGTCACATCCTGCCTCCTGCCTGTCCCTGCAGCTGCCCCACCCCAGGATGCACGGGCTCAGGCCACGTTCGGGGCAAATACTCCAGGCACCGCAGGTAAGAGTCCCAGGAAGGGGCCTGGGTTCCTGTTCTAGGTGGGTCAAAGACCCTCATTCTTGGTGTGCCCCAGCCTTCTGGGACGATTGCAGTCTGGGGTGTCCTCAAAGCTGTGGGGCAGATGGGGATAGGCAAGTCCCTGTTGGGAGTGGGGCACAGAGCAGGCCTGGGCCACATTCAGGGTCACATGACTGGCCATTGTGGCTCTCAGCATGGCTGTCCCACACAACTTCAGATGACTGAGGGTGAGCGTTGGGGCCTATAGAGGTAGAAGGCCCTGTGGTGAGCCCAGGCTAGAGTATGTGGGGGATGTGGTAGCCTGGTGGGGCCACTGGGCTGTCAGGGCTTGGTGGGGTCTTCTGGGAAGCGGAAATGCAACTGGAACACAACCGGGTGTTCTTTGCTCATGAGTGAGCCCTGTTCAGCTCAGCTAAATGCCGGCATTGACCCTGGTGGAGTCAGGCTCAGCTGCGGGCTGCAGGGGAGGGACCCCAGCCTGGTTGCCTCCTTGCCCACTTCTCCCTGCAGCTTGCAGAGCTGCCCTCTGGCCAAGAAGAGGAAGCTGGAGGGCTCTGAGGCTGAGCATCTGGGGTCCAAGAGGAAGTCCCAGCCCCTGGGGCTGACGCTGGGTGCAGGTGATGGCGCAGACAGTGAGAGCAGCGAGGACCCCGAGGTGAAGGCCGCCTCTGTTTCGGGAGAATCGGACGGAACCCCAGAGGAGGCTGCGGCCAGGCTGCCTGGGCAGGAGCAGATTCATCGTCTGGAGCCAGCTGCAGGTGCTCTGGGCCACTGTTCCCCCTAGGATAAAGGCTGCTCAGTGCATCCTGTGCATGGGGGTGGGAGGATGAGCAAGAACAAGGCTGCCTTGTTCTGTACTTCTTGGGAGAGAGGCCTGAGAAGGGGCTGTGGAGTGTATGTGGGCATTGTGTGTCTGTGAGCACTGTGTGTCTGAGCGCTGTGTGTGAGCGCTGTGTGTGTGAGTGCTGTGAGTGAGTACTGTGTGTGAGTGCTGTGAGTGAGTACTGTGTGTGTGTGTGCTGTGAGTGAGTGCTGTGTGTGAGCACTGTGTGTGTGAGTGCTATGTGGGAGTACTGTGTGTGGGAGTGCTGTGTGTGAGCGCTGTGTGTGTGAGTGCTGTGAGTGAGTACTGTGTGTGTGAGTGCTGTGAGTGAGTGCTGTGTGTGAGCACTGTGTGTGTGAGTGCTATGTGGGAGTACTGTGTGTGTGAGTGCTATGTGGGAGTACTGTGTGTGTGAGTGCTGTGAGTGAGTGCTGTGTGTGTGAATGCTGTGAGTGAGTACTGTGTGTGTGAGTGCTGTGAGTGAGTACTGTGTGTGTGAGTGCTGTGAGTGCTGTGTGTGAGTGCTGTGTGTGAGTACTGTGTGTGTGAGTGCTATGTGGGAGTACTGTGTGTGTGAGTGCTGTGAGTGAGTGCTGTGTGTGTGAATGCTGTGAGTGAGTACTGTGTGTGTGAGTGCTATGTGGGAGTACTGTGTGTGTGAGTGCTATGTGGGAGTACTGTGTGTGTGAGTGTTGTGAGTGAGTACTGTGTGTGGGAGTGATGTGAGTGAGTGCTGTGTGTGAGCACTGTGTGTGTGAGTGCTATGTGGGAGTACTGTGTGTGTGAGTACTGTGTGTGGGAGTGATGTGAGTGAGTGCTGTGTGTGAGCACTGTGTGTTAGTGCTGCGTGTGAGTGCTATGTCTGAGTACTGTGTGTGTGAGTGCTGTGAGTGAGTACTGTGTGTGGGAGTGCTGTGAGTGAGTGCTGTGTGTGAGTACTGTGTGTTAATGCTGTGTGTGAGCACTGTCTGAGTACTGTGTGTGTGAGTACTATGCATGAGTGCTGTGTGTGAGTGCTGTATGAGAACGCTGTGTGTGTGAGTGTTCTGTGAGAGTGCTGTGTGTGAATACTATGTGTGTAAGTTCTGTGTGTGTGAGTGCTTTGTGTGTGAGCACTGTGTGAGTGCTGTGTGTTAGAACACTGTGTGTGAACACTGTTTTGGTGTGGCTGCCCGTCCTGGTTGTGTCAGAGCCCCTGGCCATGATGGACACTGTGGTAGGAGCATTGTGACAAATGAGGTCCCTGGCAGATGAAGGACCCTGGAGACTGGGGGGTGCTAAGGACCAGCCCCTGCTGCAGCCCACATTAAGAGGTAGCAGCCTTTTTTTTGCTGGGGCTGCCCTGAAATCTGAGTTGATTCGATTTTGCTGCCTGGCTGCTTGCCAGGCTGACTCCTCCGGAACAGCCCCAGCACCTGGCACCTTTCAGATTTTGTGCTCAAAAAATTTGAATTGCAGTTTTTGAAAATGTGAGTGTATTTACTTTTTTCCGTTATGAAGGTTTTTTTCTAAAAATCTGATTTGTGGAAAAGGTGAAGTGCTGCTTGGGAGGCCCACACCCCATCTCGAGTGCCTGCTGAAGTCCTGGGCACTGAGCTTCTGGCCCAGCTCCCAGCTAATGTGTGTGAGGCTGAATGAGCTCCTGGCTTTGGCCTGGCCCAGCCCTGGCTGTTGTGTTCATTTGGGAAGTGAGCCAGCAGGTGGAAGATCTCTCTGTCACTCTGCCTTTCAAATAAAGTAAATGAATCTTTAAAAAATAAAAAATCTGATTTTCTCCTTAAGTTTCATTTTATCATATGTAAGTATGAAAGATTCATTTTACTTATTTGAGAGGCAGAGTTAGAGAGAGAGAGAGACAGATATCTTCCATCTGGTTGTTCACTCTCAAAATGGTCAGGACAGCCAGGGCTGCCCTACGCCAAAGCCAGGAGCCAGGGTCTCCCTCTTGGGTGCAGGGGCCCAAGCACCGGGCCATCCTTTATTGCTTTTCCTAGGCCATAATCAGGGAACTGGGTCAGAAGTGGAACAGCTGGGATTCAAACCAGTGCTCATGTGGGATGCCAGCACCATACGGGCAGCTTTACTTACTATGCCATAACATGGCCTCCATCAAATGCAGTTTCACCTAATTTGAGAAAGTACTCATAGTCAGAAGGAATATTACTGAAAGTGTCAAAGCAGTTAGCTGCTCTTCACTGACCCTTAGACAAAGTTCACCATGGTCTGTGGATTCTGCCCTCTGTGGGAAGGCAGAGGGGCCAATGGGGGCCTGGGAACTTGGCTGTACCCTCTCTCACGCATCTCTGGTTTCCTGCAGGGAGGAGCCCTCTCAAGTCCCATTTTGGACCCAAGCCTGGCAGCAGCCCCCCCAGCTCCTCCAAGGGTGGCTGCAGCAGCTACCAGGGGGTCATCGCAGCATCTCTCCTCACCCTTGGCCAGATCCCGGAGGAGGCCCTGGGTGGAGAAGACCCAGGCCTGGGGGCCAGGCAGGGCCCGGCTGTGGCGCGGCTGCTTCAGGAGGGAGCCGACAAGGGACAGAAGGACCTGTTTGTCCGAGCAGGAGATGTAGGAGAGGCCCTTGAGGTCAGTGATCTGCACAACCAGGAGCCCCAGCCGCGAGCCCTGGAGGAGGTGGCCAGAGAGGTGTCTAGCCAGCAGAAGGGTCCCCAGGAAGATGATGAGGATGACGATGACGATGAGGATGAGGACGAGGAGGAGGATGAGGAGGAGGAAGAAGAAGAAGATGGCATGGAGGAGGAAGAGGAAGAAGAGGATGTAGAGGAAGAGGAGGAAGAGGATGAGGATGAGGAGGCAGCGACAGCCTCTGATGTGATATTTGAGGATGCCACTTCCTGCACCTCTGCCCAGAAGGGCCTGGAACCAGCCAGCCCTAAGCCGGAATATTCTGTCCTGGTGGAGGTCCGCTCAGATGATGACAAGGATGAGGATGCACGCTCCCCACGGTCGGCTGTCACAGATGAGTCTGAGCTATATGATGTGCTGACCCGTGGGAATCTGGGCCTCCTGGAGCAGGCCATCGCCCTGAAAGCCGAGCAGGTGCACGAGCCAGGCAGCCCCCTCTCTGAACAGGGTCCCCCGGGCCCGGGAGAGGCAGGAAAGGCAGCCAAGTCCCTAGATGCCATGCGCAAGAGCTACTATAACAAAGGTAGGGGGTGGCCTGGTCCCACACACCCTCACTGTGGGAGGGGCCTGTGGGAGGGCAGGGGTGTGGCCAAGATGCATCTTTGGGGTTACCCTGGAGCCCCTGCACATAGGTCCCCCACCCAGGCCTTCCTCACATCCCTTCGTGAAGAGTCCCTGGGCTTGGCTGCACAGTCAACTGATGCCAGCCGGTTTCTCCAGGACATCTTCATGTCCTGGCCTGTGCAGCCCTGGTCCCTCCTAACTTCCTGGCCAGAAGGAGGGGTATCCAGCTGCCCCCTCCCCAACGTGTGCTGGCTCTAAGGGTGGTGTCTCCATGTTTTAGATCCTTCGAGAGCTGAGAAGCGGGAGATCAAGTGCCCAACACCCGGCTGTGACGGCACTGGGCACGTGACGGGGCTGTACCCGCACCACCGCAGCCTGTCTGGCTGCCCCCACAAGGACAGGATCCCCCCGGAGAGTGAGTTGCTCCGAGGCAGTTGGCCCCAACTGTGAGGCCCTGGGCAAGCCAGAGGCTCACTGGGGCCAGAGACTGGAAATGGCCACAGGCACAGCCATGGGAGGGCCAGGCTGGTGTGAGTTGAGCTGGGGAGTCAGAGGCCAACTCAGGCCACAGTCAGCCCCTATCATGGGCTGCGGCAGTCCTCAATGTTAGAGCTGAGTCCAGGGCCCTCAGCCAGCCTGAGGTGGGGCTGATGTGGGCAGGGTCTGGGCCTGGAGCTGCCCTGGTACCCACTCCAGGCGGCCATCCCCCGTCAACTTACAAAGCCATGAATGCAGCCTTTGGACAGGACCCCTGCCCCTCTTCAGCCAGCTCCCGCAGGGACACCCCTGCACTGACCCCCTTCCCCTCCCTCGTTCTCTGCAGTCCTGGCCATGCATGAGAATGTGCTGAAGTGCCCGACTCCTGGCTGCACAGGTCAAGGCCATGTGAACAGCAACCGCAACACGCACAGGAGGTATGCGTGTGGGGTAGGAGATTGGGGTGCAGCTGAACCGGCTCCCAGCCACTTCCCCAGGACCACACTCTCAGATCACCCACAGTACCATGTGCGGCCATGGCCTTGAGAGGAAACACTCAGCAGGAAGAATGGCTGGACCTTGGAGGTCACTCTGAAAAGAGGCCCAGTTCCTGAGCCCTGTGGTCACATCTATTCTCAGGCCAGCCTTTGGCAAAGTTGCTACCCCCATGTCTTGGCGCTGGTGTCCTTGGGATGGGCCTGTGTCCCCCAAGGGTGGCTTTGGTTGTGTTCATTGAGTCAGTGGCAGAACCAGAGTCTAGCCCTGGGGCAGGGGCTGGAGGGAAGAGCGAGAGTCACTTGGGTTTACTCGGGGAGGCATCCATGAGTGCAGCTCAGAATCTCCCCAGATGGGTGCTGGTGAGGGCCAGGGCGGGGTGGGAGGCCCGCCCCACAGGGAGAACAGCCTGCACAGGAGGTTCAGAAGTGACTGTGCATTTCCTAGCTTGTCTGGCTGTCCTATTGCCGCTGCGGAAAAGTTAGCCAAAACCCATGAGAAGCCACCACCACAGCCGGGAGAGCTCTCCAAGAGCGGCTCTAGCTCTGATCGGATCCTCAGGTGGGTGACGGCCAGGTCCAAGGGGTTGCCCCAGCTCTGTCTTCCCCAGGCTGTGGGGGTGGGGGATAAAGGGTGCCCATGGCTCCCAGAGGTTCCTGGCCCCTGTCCTCTCTGGGCTGTCTGACAGCAGGCCCTTCTGTGCCCAGTCCTGGGCCATGTCCTTGTCTTGACTCCTCTGAGAGCCTGTTGCTTGAGGGCCTTCTCCTTGAGGAGGGGACAGCAAAGCCAGGTCCTGCCTTTGTGAAGGCCAGGTCCCCCCTCCTGGGCCGTACCTCTCTGTTGGGCTTCTGTCTGGATAGAGGTATGTTCTGGGTCAGAGTAGGAAGCTTACCCCAGGGAATCCTGCTCCCCATCCCCTATGGAGCCCCCAGGCTCTGAGGTCAGCAGCTGGTGCTGCTGGTCCCAGGCTGGTTGCTCCTAGCCCTACCCCCTGCCCCCAACCAGCCCCAGGTCACAGCCTGTTCCCTAAGAGCTCCTGGCTCTGGGAACTGGAATTCTGACCCAAGAACAGTTGCAGAATAAGGGGTGGGGGTAGACGTGTAAGTGTCTGGGTTGGGGTTTCGTTCTCATAAGGCCCTCCATTTTGTCCTGCCCCCAGGCCCATGTGCTTTGTGAAGCAGCTCGAAGTCCCTCCATACGGGAGCTACCGGCCCAGCATGGCCCCTGCCACCCCCAGAGCCAACCTGGCCAAGGAGCTGGAGAAGTTCTCCAAGGTTACCTTTGACTACGCAAGTTTTGATGCTCAGGTTTTTGGCAAACGTGTGCTTGCCCCAAAGATTCAGACCAGCGAAACCTCACCCAAAGCCTTTCAATGTGAGTTGAGAAGAGCAGATTTGTCTCTTCTGGGTAGCTTCTGGGGGAGGACCATGTAGGAGGGACCTTGGGGTGCATCCAAAGGAGGCCCAGATGCAGGCCTGAGACCTAAGCTACACACTGGGCACTTCAAGTGTTGTGCCTGACGCATGTCCACCATGAGCCCTATATTAGCTCCTAACTGCTGGCAGCGAGGTCTGACTTGGATCCTCACAGGGCTGGCTGTCCAAAGATTTAGGAGTAACTGATACCTGGAGGAAGCCCCCTCCCCCAACTTCCTGCTAACATTCCCTGCTCTGCTGGGGTGCCTCTGGAGAGGGGTCCTGCCTGGGACCTATCTTACAGGGCATGCGGCATCGATCCTCCTTGCAGCTTGGGGGCAGCCCTCCAGTCCTGCCGTGTCACTCGCCACACTAGTGTGAGGGCTGTGAGCCCACAGGTCATGGAAGTGCATGTGCATGGAGCTGGTGTCCCTCACGCCCGTGTGGCAAGGATGGATGCTGTGCAGCTTCCCGCCCTGGGGAGGCTGCGTCCCCCGTGCACACCTGCCTAAAAGGATTGTGCAGAGGGCAGCTCTTTGCGTTGATGCACAGATATTTCTGGAATGTTCCCACAGTCAGGTGAAATGTCCATCATGTCATGCTAGAAAAGCTAACATTTCATGCCTGGTTGGCTGTTTGTTGGAAAAATGGTGCTGCTCCAGCATTGGCATGAATGATGCTCTACTGATCTTGGTACTTGAGGGCTGTCTGTCTCAAGAACCTTTACACAGCCCTGAGATGTGCTGAGAGCATCTGGGGAGTTGTTGGAAGAGTTTCTTCTTCCTCTGAAACTTGATCACATCAGGTTGAGGCTGTGACTTTGGGACCCAAAATAGGGTCAGTGGGCAGTGGGATGGCTGGTGGAACCACTGGAGGGCAGGGGGCCAGTGAGAAGGCAAGTAGAACCCCTGGCCTGTTTGGATATGGCTGCACTTGGCCATCCCAGGACCCCTACCCCCTGTCACGCCTGCTGCTGCTGCTTTGATTGTACATCAGCCAATGTTGTTGCTTTTTGCAGCCAAACCCTTCCCAACGGCCTCCTCCCCAAGGCATAGCCCATCCAGCAGCTGTGCAAGGACCACCTCATCCTCTTCCACAGGCTTCGACTACTCGCATGACGCTGAGGCTGCGCACATGGCTGCCACCGCCATCTTAAACCTCTCCACTCGCTGCTGGGAGATGCCCGAGAACCTCAGCATGAAACCCCAGGACCTGCCCGGCAAGGTGGGGACCCTGGCTGAACCTCAGCATGGAGACCTGTGTGTGCCCTGAGCAGACACCCCAAACTGAGATGGGAGCTTGTGTGCCTTGGGCTCACATTGCTTGCTCCTTGCCTCGAGCAGCAAGGCTGTTGGAGAGACCTTGGTCCAGGCCCCTGTTGTCTAGAGCTACAGGCGAGCTCCTTGGGCTCTGGTCCTGCCCATGTCTTTATTGTGTCTTGAGTGTGTGGCTCTGTGCTCCCGGGAAGCTGGAAGGTCAGGTGGCCTCTCCTGGCAGCCAGCCATGCTGGCTGCTCTGTTTCTTTGCATGAGAGTTGGCGCTCTGGGCCCTGATTTGGCTGGCATATCCATGGGGGTGGGCTGACCAGCACGCGATTCCCTTTTGCAGGCTGGAGACATCGAGGTGGATGAGAACGGGACTCTGGACCTGAGCATGAATAAGCACCGGAGACGCGAGCACACCGTCCCCAGCAGCAGTAGCAGCAGCAGCAGCCCCGGTGTCCGATCGCCTGATGTTGGCCAGCGTCCGGGCAGCACCATGACCTCACCCCTGTGTGGCCAGGCCTCCCGCCAGGATGAATGGGACCGGCCCCTGGACTATACCAAACCTAGCCGCCCGCGGGAGGAGGAACCAGAGGAGGTATGTCTCGTGGGGCTGGCGAGTGTTTTATGTGGCTGCTCCTGCTGCGACTGCAGGTCCTGACATCCGTTCCCATTCAGTCATCACCCTCAAGTTAGCTGAGGGCTTCCGTCTGTTGTCCCCAGTCTGCCCACAGCCAGAGGCCACACCCCTGTCCACCCCCAGCGAAGGGTTCATTGCCCTATCTACCTACCTAGAAGGGGTGAAGCTGTGAAGGGGTCACAGCTAGGCTTCCTGGTGTCCCCATCCCTGGCGATTCTGGTTTGTGCCTTTGTCTGCTGTGTGGAGCTGGTGCGAGGTTCAGCACTCCTGGGATTCAGCTGCTGCAGCCACAGGCCTCAGCTTGCCCCACTCACCCTCTCCTCCTATCCATCTCCTGGGCTTAGTATACCCAGAAAATACCTCCCAGGAGGCCTCCCAGAGCCCTGACTAGCCTGCACTTGGGCAGCAGTCTGGCCTTAGTGCCCAGGGACCCCCGAGACACCCCACACATGGCAACCTGCCATCCTGAGAAGCCTCCTCCTATTATTGATTGATTGATTGATTGGAAAGTAAGATATATATAGAGGAGGAGAGACAGAGAGGAAGATCCATTTTTTAAAGATTCATTAATTTATTGGAAAGTCAGGGTTACACACACACACACCCCTTCTGTTTTCTGGTACTGGTTCACTCCTACATGGCAGCAATAACCAGGCTGGGCCAGGCCTAAGCCAGCAGTTGGGAACTCCAGCCAGGTCTCCTCTGTGGGTTCAGGGGCCCAAGCACTTGGGCCACCCTCGGCTGCTTTCTCAGGCGCATTAGCAGGGAGTTGGATGGGGAGTGGAGCCATTGGGAATTGAACTAGTGCCCATGTGAGATGCTGGCACCACAGGTGGCAGCTTTGCTTCCTGCACCTCGGCGCTGACTCCCAGATACCTCCTATATCTGCTTGGAGAGACGGAATTGAAGGTTAACTTCAGGGGGCCTGGCGCATGGCTAAATATTCACCTTGCAAGTTATCTTCAGGTGGCCCGGCCCACAGCTCAATGGCTAAACCCTCACCTTGCAAGTGTCAGGATCCCCTGTAGGTGCTGATGTGTGTCCTGGCTGCTCCACTTCCCATCCACCTTCCTGCTTGTGACCTGGGAAAGCAGTAAAGGATGGCCCAAAGCCTGGGAACCCTGCATCCATGTGGGAGAGCAGGCAGAAGCTCCTGGCTCATGCTTTGGATTGGCTCAGCTCGGGCAGTTGCAGTTACTGGGAGAGTGAATTGATGGATAAGATTTTTCTGTCTCTTCTCTTTGTAAATCTGATCTTCCCCTCCCCCCCAAAAAAAAGTTTGGTGCAAAAACATTTTTTCAAGTTGTGCATGCACAAGAGGACTTGGAAAAAATTTGAGAAAATATATTTCATGAAAAACTATGCTTGGATTTTTGCTCCCATGTAACTCATTTTTAAAGTCTGCTTTCCCACAAATTCTTTTAAGGTACCCTCTGCCCTCTGGGGAGCTTTGTCGAACTTGCTAAGCTCCTGAACCTGTGCCAGGGGCCCTTGCTGTCCTGGGTGCCCTCTGACAGCCACATCTTTGCTTGGTGACCCCACTTCCTGTGAGAGAGGTCTGGGTCTAGGGGTGGACAGCTTCATGAATGAGCAGCATTGGGTGGGAACCCCCTGGGCCTGTAACCTTGTCTTTCCACCCAGTGTGCATGACACTGGTCCTGTGAGTGAGAGGGTCTGCAGCTGGGGTACAGTGTGCATTGTGCTCAGGGCCTGCTGTGGTCAGGGTGGGCACTGGTGATCTTGAGGTCACTGTGACTGTGATGACTCATCTTCATGCTTGCTAATGACACTTATTACTGCCTACTGCCCCTCACTTCTGGCCCCAGCTCTGTGCCCACTGTCGCTTCATTTCTGTTTCCCAACTCTGCTGTCAGCTGAGAGCAGCTGTGGCTTTGTTTCTGTCCCCCAGCTCTAAGAGCAGCTGTGACTCAGGTGGGAGGGTTTAGCTCTTCAAGGTTTGTTTTTGGTGTCCCGTGGGGGACTCAAGTCTTCGTCTTTTGTGCAGAAAACTCTAGGAAAGGCCTGACTGGATGCTGCCTGAAGGGTTCCTCCCCTGCCCACCTGCTTGGGCACCCAGGCCTCCCCACCTCTGGCTAAAACACCTCCCTGCTGGTCTTTTGCAGTCAGAGCCAGCAGCCCATTCTTTTGCTTCTTCTGAAGCAGATGACCAGGAGGTGCCAGAGGAGAGCCTCGAGGAGCGCAAGTACCCGGGAGACGTTACCCTGACCAACTTCAAGCTCAAATTCCTCTCCAAGGACATAAAGAAGGAACTGCTCACGTAAGTCTCGTGGCAGGAAGGAGCAGGTCCTGGCCTCACCCAGTCCCTGCCACTGCCTGGGTCAGCCTACCTTGGGCCAGGAAGCCACACGGAACTGGGAGCATCCAGTCATCTCCGTCCTTTCAACAGGAGTGGCCCCTCAGCCCCCAGAGCAGGCACAGAAAGCTCTGGGGGAAGGCACAGGAGTCACTTTGGCTGAAGTGGGCAACTCCTTGCAGGAGTTCGGGAGTCGGGCCCTGGGAGCTGCTTGGTTGAGGCGGCTGCAGCAGGCAGGCCCAAGTCACCCATCATTAGATGCCCCAGGTGTGCCAGAGTCAGCCCTCTTAGCCCCCTCTGTTGGACAGCTGAACTGAACTCAGGCTGGGCACCTCGTCCTTGGGCAGAGGGTGTCTTGTTGCACCAGGGGCAGCAGAAGGGGGTACTTGTACTGCGTGTGTGCTTACAGCACATGTGTGGGGGCCTGCATGATTCTTCACAGCACTGTGTGGGCTCCCACATGTGTGTTCACAGGCACATGTGTTGGTGTCTGTATATGCGTGTGCCTACACCTGTGTTAATGATGCACACGTGGTGCCTACATATGTATTTGCAACATACATGTGGGTGCCTGCACGTGTGTTCATAGCATGCATGTGGGTACTGGCATGTGTTCTGATCACACATGTGGGTGCCTACACATGTGTTCATGACACACATATGGGTACCTGCACGTGTGCCCACAAGATGCATGTGGGGGCCTGCATGTGTGTTCACAGTACATGTGTGGGCATCTTTGTCACATATGCACAAAGGTAGTTCTTACGTCAGGTTCCTTTTCCCTTGATTCTAACCATGGGACAGATGCTTGCGATGAGAGAGGCCAGTGCCCAGGGCAGAAGCTCTACCAGTGTGCTATGGCCTCAGCTCTGACACCTCTTTCCCTTGTGCAGCTGTCCCACGCCGGGTTGTGATGGCAGTGGCCACATCACTGGGAACTACGCCTCCCACCGCAGGTTTGTGAGCACTCGGGTTGGACCCCCCACAAACTTGTGGGGGCTGCCCCTCCCCCTCTGCGCCCCTCATGTCCCTCTCTTCTCTTTCAGCCTCTCTGGTTGCCCTCTTGCTGACAAGAGCCTCAGAAACCTCATGGCTGCCCACTCTGCTGACCTCAAGTATGTTTGCGCTCCCAACTGCCTGTCTCTTCACGAGGCTCCGCCCCTTCAGCCTCCTCCGAGGCCCCGCCCCCAGCATGGGCTAGGGGTAGGGGCAGGGTTGAGGACGGGCGAGGGGCAGGGCCGAGGAAGGACGGATCCTGCTTGCTGGGGCAGCTGCCTGTGCCCCCTCTCTCGATTCTGCTGCCTCTGTCTGCTCTTGACCAGGACCACCCTCTCTGGGCTCTGCCACCCGTGTCTGTCTCAGGCTGCAGGCTCATGCATGCTCAGCTGTGCCCCCATGTGGCCTCTGCTTCTAGGACTGCTGTGTCCCATGCTCTGGTCTGGCTGTGGCTCCTGCTGCATGCCATGGGTGCTGGTGGTGTACCCTCCTGCTGCCTTCCCTGCCTCAGCTCACCTACTGCTCCCCACACTCCTGCTATGCTCTCCTTGCTGCCCACCCCCACCACCTTGCTTGTGCTTCTGTGCCTCCCGGCCCCAGCCCACAGCGGACTAGGCCTATGGGTGCTGGGCTTCTGCTTGGCAGCTGCTACACGAGGTTTCCAGGTCTCAGTGTCCTCTTGGGCCGAGTTGGGGGTGGTCACTGTCTTTGGTTCCCCCACGTGGCCCTAAGTTAGGGGCTCAGCTGGGCACCAAGGCAGGGCCATAGAGAAAGAGCTCTCTCCTTTGCCCTCAGGTACCCCTCACTGTCTATTCTCTATGGGCCTCTGGGTTGAGGGAACCTGGAGTCCAGGTCAAGGCACCTCTGAGGGGAGGAGTTAGAGAGTCTGGAGGGTCCAGGACACTGACAGTGTGGGGGCCCAGGGGCTCCCAACAGCCAGGGGCGGGTGTGTATCAGCCTTGGCCCTCCCCTGTTAGGGTTAGAGGCGGTCAGACTGGTCTGAGAGAAAGACAGAGGCTTTTAGTCCAGGTGTGCGGTTTTGTTAGATGAGAGGGTCTGATGGACTGCTGCCTGGCGGGGTAGGCCTGGGACCACTTCCACATGGCGGGGTGACTGTGGGAGGGAAGTGGCTACCACAGCATAAGCACTGGGGTTTCATACCCAGGCGCAGGGGAAGGGAGAAGGTGGCAGCTCCTCAACTTGCGCATGCGAGCGACCTGGCACTTGTCATGGTAGACTGAGACAAGATCTAAGTAGTTTCTGTTAGGCACTGCAGCTGTTCTTGAGGAGATAAGGTCAGGATGATTCATCATGAACTTATTTCATTCTGCCTCAGGCCAGCATCCTGCTTGGCTGTCTAACAACACCCAGGGCTGACTCAGCCTCATGGAGGCTGTGTGCAGGCTGCTGAGTCAGCACTCACCTGTGTCCCACACACCTGGGCTGACTCAATGTCTGTGTTCAGGCCCCTGGATGTGGGAGCTGCTGAGTTAGCATTTATTTCTGCCCTCATTCTGTCCCCACATCTGGCTCCAAATCCAAAGCTGACTTTTCCTGAAGCCTGAGAACCCTTACCCCGTTCCCCTTTCTTCCTTCTTTCATTTTTCCAAGTTCGTTTTCCAATTTTGTTTCTCTTTAAACTGTGATTGGTGTTGGTAGTTTTCAGTGTATGGGCTAGAACGAAGTTAGAGCTGACCGTGTCACTGCTGCCCCTTTATCTGTCCAGCCTATGCTCAGGCCAGGATGGAGTTTGGGCATTTCGGAGTCAGTGCTGTTTAAGGCTAAGCCAGGAAAGACCTTTAATCCAGAAATCCCACCAGGGGCCCCCAGGTGAAGAGGAGCCTGCTCAGCCTCTCACAGGTTGGACTGCTGGCAGAGCACTCCAAGCTTCAGGTCAACCTCTCACACACCTAGACCTCAGCCTGCACCTCTGCCTGTGGGGGCAGCAGTGCTCCCTGGCTGAGGGACCACACACTGGACTGGCCAGCTGTCCTGGCCACTTGGCTCCTTGTGCCAGTGGGAGTTAGTGTGGCTGCACCTTCATTATTATCATGAGCACACACAGGACTATGCTCAACGGGGAGGCCTGCAGGCCCTTGAGACCTCCAGCCCTCAGACACAGATCCTTGCTTCCACTCAGACCAGGTGAGAGGGACAGAGGTGGCTCAGGGACCACAGCTGATCCCGTGGGTCTGCGGTATTGTGATTACTGGTCTCCCACCCAAGTATTAACCAGGCCCGACCCTGCTTAGCTTCCAAGATCAGACGAGATTGGGCATATTCAGGGTGGTATGGCCGTAAACGGTACTGTGATTACTGGTGAAGGCAGCTGTTCCGGCCACAGGAATGTTTTCCCTCCATGAGAAACCCAGGACATCCCTGCCCTGGTCAGAAAACTGCCCTCATGCAGGATTCCCCCATGAGTGCCCTCATCTTGGATCCACCGTGGGTAGCCTTACTCTATACCATCCCCAGAGGTGTCCTCACATTAGACCAACCCCATGGGCATCCTCACCTTAGACCCTCCCCATAGGCGTCTTCACCCTAGAACCTCCCCACAGGTGCCCTCAGCTTAGACCTTCTCCCCACGGGCACCCTCGCCCTAGACCTTCCCCACAGGCGCCCTCACACTAGAACCTTTCCACAGGCGCCCTCACACTAGATTCTCCCCACAGGCACCCTTCCTCTATAACCTCCCCATGGGTGCTGTCATCCAGGTCTCCCTATGCGTGCTGGGGAACCTGTGCCTTCTTGGGGTATTCCATGACCCATGGCTGTGCTCAGTGCCCTCAGAACTGGCACACTGTCCTTGTTGTCCTTGCTGCCTGAGGGACTGGCAAGCTCTGTGCTGGACCTGACTTGGCCAGACACTTTCCTGATGTTGGAGCAAAGCCCAGGAGCTTAACTGAGCACTGACACCTGGGAGGTGAGTTGCCCATCTTGAATTCTCTGGGTGTGTCTTCCCTGATGGCGACCTCTGCCCAAGTAGAAGGGCCAGGTGCCCATGGCACCATCCCGTGAGGACTGGGCAGTGATGTGACCAGCTAGGTGTCTGACTGGCCAGCAAAGCATCTGATGTGTAAGTCCCTGGGCAGAAATGAGGGAAGCTGGACCCAGGGACCAGAGAGCAGGAAATACGGCTGTGCTCATACTTCTGTGCCCAGAAGCAGGCTGTGCCAGCTTCTGTCTTCCGTGTGAGGAGGCTGCTGGTACTAGTGGACAATGGCCACTAGGGCACCAACACAAGCCCAGTTCTCGCCTGAGGCAGGCCCACAGGTGTGGCCCACAGAATTCTGTCTCCTGCCCCTTGCCCTGAACATGGCAGGGACTCACACATTCTCGGGTGGACATTTGTGAGAAAATGACATAAGAGGGTCCAGGCTAACAGGAAGCAGTTTTTGCTGCTTCCTGCTTGTCAGATGCTCTGGGTGCAGAACCTGCCTCCCTCCCCTCTTCAGTCTCTGCTGACACTGCTGCCCACAGACTCAGAATTCTGTACACAGAACAGGACCTGGCCTGCAGCAACCGGTGCTCATAGTTCAGGGCACAGGGTCAGGGGTCAGCTTGTCTTCTTGAGACCTCAGGTTCAAGGTCAGGGTTTTGAGATGTTCCAGAATCTTCCAGTCCAGCCTGAAACCCCACAAAAGGCTATGCTGGGATTCGCTGTGTCCCTTTTTGAGATGGGCCTAGAAGCGTAGCCATGGTTCTCAGGCCTGGCCGGGTCTCAGGCTGTTTTCTCCTTCATCTGCCTGCCGGCCCCTTAAGGAGCAGCTGGGGTGGCACCATAGCCCAGAGTGACACCTGACACTGGCTGCTGACATAGCTAGGTAGGCGTGGGCATGTGTTGGTGACGTGTCTCAATGGAAGGTGCCTAGGAAGGCTGCTGGAGCCCCCACAGGGGAAGCTGGGATGCCTCACATGAGGACCAACATCAGGGCCTCCCCCCCGGGGGCTGCAAGGCCCTACCTGAGCCGGGGCTGACACGTCCATGAGGCCAGTGCAAGCTCCATTTCTCTCTACAGGTGCCCCACACCTGGTTGTGATGGCTCTGGCCACATCACAGGGAACTATGCGTCACATCGGAGGTGAGTGTCACAGATGGGTTGGCAGAAGCTGACCACTGGGGCCGATGATCTTCTCTGTCTAAACTGTAATGTGTGATTAGGTGGTCCCTGCTGCAAGGTAAGCCACACAGCGTCATGGCTAGGGCTGAGGGAGTGTAGGTAGTGTGTGGGTTTCATTCCTTACACTGAGTCCTGGACCCTGGGGTGGGCTGGGCAGCTACAGTCGCTCTCTAGACTGACCTTTCCATGTTCTCCTCTTGTCTCCAGCCTGTCTGGCTGCCCTCGTGCCAAGAAGAGTGGGGTGAAGGTGGTACCTAGCAAGGATGATAAGGAGGACCCTGAGCTGATGAAGTAGGTTGGGCCGTCAGGGCCGGCTTCCCTGCATCCTCACAGTCCCTTTTGCACATGCACACGCTCCAGTTCATGCTGTGGAGCCTTACTCAGAGGGCACAGGTGCTGCTCCTGGCCTCCACTCAGTGCGTCTGATGGCTGGAGGCTCTGAGTCCAGCTGCCTGAGCCCAGGGCCTTGCGATGCCTCCTGCTGCTGCTGGGCAGGAGTCCAACGGAGAGGATACCTTTGCACAGTTAGCTGTGTGCAATGAAGGCCTGAAAGCGTGAGGCCCATCAGGGCTTGGGAGTGCGGGGTGAACTCTGACACTGTGTGAGCAGGACAGGGTAGCTGGGACAAGGAGTCCTAGAGGCAGCACAGCTTAGGGAGGTGGCCCCTGGGAGGAGCCAGAGGGCTTTGGGCTAACTCTTCATTCCAATGCTTTTCCCCACCTCAACTTAGGGTCAGCCAGAGAGTGGCTGAACCAGGGCCCTCCACTACACATTGTGCCTGGAGCATTTGTTGTTGCCAAACCTCTCCCTGTGCCAGAGCGTAGGGAACTGCTCGTTCTGGTTGGTGTGGCTACAGCCTTTCCTTATCTTTTCTGGGCCTCTGCGCTGTCTACAGCCGGATCTAGTCTCAGCCTGGAGGCTAAGGCATGCAGCCTGACGCTTGTCTCATCTCCCTCCTGTGGTTGGCTGTCATCTGGCTGTCTGAATACAGGGTGGAGTGGGCAGTGACCTCTGGAGTTCGCCCCTAGGGTGTGGCTCCCAGGCTTGGGCTGGGGGATGCTATGGCGCCCTCTTGCCTAGCTGTTCTCTGCACTTACCTTGCTTCCTGGTGCCCAGGTGCCCAGTGCCTGGCTGTGTGGGACTTGGTCACATCAGTGGCAAATATGCCTCCCACCGGAGTGCGTCTGGCTGTCCACTGGCCGCACGGAGGCAGAAGGAGGGCGCCCTCAACGGCTCGTCCTTCTCCTGGAAGTCACTGAAGAATGAGGGGCCTACTTGCCCCACACCAGGTTGCGATGGCTCTGGCCATGCCAACGGGAGCTTCCTCACCCACCGGAGGTAACTGTCCCCACACCCAGGCTCTCTGTGTGCAGACAGGGTCTGCCCTCATGAGCCCATAAGTTTCTAGATGTGGACAAGCTGTGGCTGACATGGAAACCTTGGCCGCTTTGCTAGTGGGTCCCTGTGAGGTGTGGGTCTACCTACCAAGAGTTATAACTCCATCCTCGTGGATGCCTAGGGACAGACACAGGCACTGTCCAACTGGTTGCCAGGACACGGGACCTCTTGCCCCTTGGCTTCTCTGCAGCGGTCCCTTGGCCCCACCCCCTCATCTACCCTCCCATACTCTGTGGGTTAGCTCCACGCCTGTCTGGGCTGCACACCGTGGTTATTGCTTAGAGCTGAGAGCCAGCAGCAAGTCCCCACCTCTCTGTCATCTATTTGTCTCCCTCCCCTCCCTGTTTCAGTTTGTCTCCTCTTGCCTCTCTTCCCCCCACCCCCATCCTCTCTCTCTCTCTGTGGCATTAACTCACCCAACAGCAGCATTTGCTGACCTCAGAGGTGGAACAAAGAGCCAGAGAGTGGGTGGCCCCTGTCCTGTGGGACATGGTATGCTGGCAGGTGGTGCTGGCTGGGGGCAAACCCACAAGGAAAATCCCTGGAGTTTGCTCTGGGAGAGCCTCAGGAAGGTGGTGGGAGCAGTTCATGAGTGTGGCTACCATGCAGCCCAGAGGGTGCCCAGAGCATGTGGTGGGCTGGATAGGACTCAGCTCGAGAGTGGCTCTGGGATCCACTGTGCCCGCAGCACCCCCAGGCCCATGAGTGGCAACATCAGGCAGAAGGGATCTGGGATCTCTCTGGTCTTTGCCTTGCCCTGACAGCAGCTGCTCCTCTCTGGGTGGTCAGATGAGATGGGGAAGGCTCTGCCATGGGGAGACCTTTGGTAGTCATGTGGGTGGAATAGGCCTTGACTGGCCCACGTATGACGTGGGCGGCCATGGGGTGTGAGCCTGTACTGGTCAGTGACCTGTGATTTCTGCCTCCAGCTTGTCCGGCTGTCCCAGGGCAAGCTTTGCTGGAAAGAAGGGAAAACTCTCAGGGGACGAGGTTCTCAATCCAAAGTTCAAAACCAGTGATGGTAAGGATGCTCTGTGACATGTGCTGTGGCCCACGGGCCAAGGGGAGTGTGGGTGCCCATGGACAGTAGACAGAGCAGGGCCCTCGAGACAATGGTGGACATCCCTGGTGCCCAGACCTCAGCCCTGCCCCTGCCAAGTTGGGCCTGCTCCAACCTGAGGCCCCTTGGCAGTGCCTTAGGCTGTTTTGGAGTTTTTTTGCCAGGAGTTTTGGTTCAGGCCCTTGAGCACTGGCTGATCTTAGCCACCGGCCTGCCAGGGGACAGCCAGGGGCAGAGCCGCGGTCTCCACAGAGCTTCCCAGTGAGGGTCCTGAGCTCGGGAGCCCGGCGGAGGCCCCACCCACACAGCTTGTTCCCGGGCAGTGCTGGACAACGATGACGAGATCAAGCAGCTGAACCAGGAGATCCGGGACCTGAACGAGTCCAATTCGGAGATGGAGGCCGCCATGGTGCAGCTGCAGTCCCAGGTGTGTGTCTGCTCTCCAGCCCCCGCTGCTTTCAGACTCCCTCCCACCACCAATGTCTCCCGCCCATCCGCCGACCACCATTCTCTCTCTCCACCACTTTGCCCCTCTCCACCATTCTCACCTTCACTGCCGTCCAGCTCCCCGTTTCCCTTCCCTTCCCTTCCCTTCCCAGGTGTCTGTGTGGGGGTCAGGGCTGGCAGGGACAGCCACCCATCTGCCTGGAGGTGGCATTTGTGAGGTCCTCCTTGAGTTTGGGGTCAGTCAGTTGCCATGGAGTCAGCAGTGCCACGGCCAGGGGCCCCCAGGAGGAGCTGTGTTGTGGGGGTCACTGGTCCTAGTGTTCCCATGGGTGGCGGCCTGGAGCCTGGTTCTGGCTGGTTTGCACAGCAGTCCTATTCCAGCTAAAGGGCTGAGGAAGTCCTGCCCCTTTGTTGTCCCTGCACTCTCCTTGGGTGCTACTCCTGTAGCTGCTATTCCATGAGGGTTTCTGTGAGGAGAGCTGAGGGGGCTTCATGTGTCTCAGAAATGGGGAGGGTGCATCGCTCTCTGCTGCCCATGGGGCTGGTGTGGGCACTCTGTCGAGGTGAGAGGTCAGGATCCAGGGGACAGAAATGTGGCTTGGGACACAGGGGAAAAGACATATGGGACAGTGGTGACCCCATGGTCCGCTTCTGCTCTCAACCAGTGGGCTCAGCTGTTCTTTCATGCAACAGCCCCTGGAACAGCGGCTCCACTGGGGCACACCTGTGTCTGGGCAAGCGACCTCTCAGTCCCAGACAGTATCAATGGAGGAATGACAATGATTGACATGGATGAGGGAGGAGCAACAGTGATGGACAGGGCCTCAGCCCCTCCTGTTTGGAGCCTCGGGGGTTATCCATTGTCTGTCTTTCCTGAGCTGCATCTCAGTGTCTGTGCCCCTCTGAAGCTGCCTTAGAGAAAGTCGCTTTGGGGGCCCTGGGCACGCAATGCCCTCTCTCGTTACAAGGTCCCACTACGCTCTTGCAAGGCTCATACACCACAGTGTGTGTGAGCTCGACTTCCTCCAGTGGTCGCCTGTGCTAGTGTTGGATTGGGGCTGATCCTGGGGGTGGCCAGAAAGCTGAGCTTGGGGGATCTGGGGGAGCCATTTCTCAGTGGCTTTTGATGAGGAAAGACCCAAAGGCATCCTAATAAGCCAGCCAGGTGGATGCTGCAGGACCACCTTACAGAGGGTAGCACAAGGCTGAGGACGCAGCCCCTAACTTGGATGTGCGGGTCCCTCCTGACACCCAGAGGGGGCCGTGACTTTCCCTCCTCCCTCTAGAGAGCAGGACGCCTCCGGTCCTTCCACTGAGGCAGGGATCCCAGCAGCTGGCAGGAGGGGCTGTGGCTAGGATGGTCTGGGGAGGGCCATCCGCAGTAGGCAGCAGGCCCCTATCTCTGGCACAGATCTGCTCCATGGAGAAGAGCCTGCGGACCATCGAGGAGGAGAACAAGCTCATTGAGGAGCAGAATGAAGCCCTCTTCCTGGAGCTGTCTGGCCTGAGCCAGGCCCTTATCCAGAGTCTTGCCAACATCCGCCTCCCGCACATGGTAGGCTGCTGCCATGTGCCTGCGCTCTGTACTGTGCTAGGCTGGGGGTTACTTGGTCCGTGGGTCTGGGCTGGGGGTCCCTCACTTCCTAGGCTGTGGGTCCCTCACTCCCTGTGCTGGGCTGGGCTGGGCTGGCCTGGGGGTGTCCTCACTGCCTGGGCTGGGCCAGTGGTTTCTCACTCCTGTGCTTGGCTGGGGGTCCCTCACTCCCTAGGCTGTGGGTCCCTCACTCCCTGTGCTGGGATGGTGGTCTCTCACTGCCTAGGCTGGGCTGGGGACCCTCACTCCCCGTGTTGGGCTGTGCTGGGCTGTGCTGGGCTGGGTGTCCCTCACTCCCTGTGCTGGGTTGGGTTGGGCTGGTCTGGGGGTGTCCTTCACTGCCTGGGCTCGGCCAGTGGTTCCTCACTCCTGTGCTTGGCTGGGGGTCCTTCACTCCCTGGGCTGGGCTGGGGCTTCCTCATGCCCTGGGCTGGGGGTCCTCACTCCCTGGGCTGTGTTGGGCTGGGGGGTCCTTACTTCTTGGGCTGGGCTAGGGGGTCTGTTGGCTTCTATGTTGGGCTGGGGGTTGCTCAGTCCCTGTTATGGGCTGGGACATTTTTGCTCTTGAGTCTGGAACCTGCTTCTTTGGGATGAGCCTTCTGCTCCCAGTGGCCCAGGCTCGAGCCCCTGAGAGCTTCATGTCCAAAATGCAGTGGTGATTCTGATGGCCGTGAGCCTGACTCCGGTTGCCTGCAGGCAGGGACCCCCTGGCTGCTAGCTGGGGCACAGGGCTGTCCCTGGTTGGGGTGGGCACCTCTTGACTTGTGCAATACTTAGCAGGGCTTGCTGATGATTTCTGTTCTCCAGGAGCCAATATGTGAACAGAACTTCGATGCCTATGTGAGCACTCTCACGGACATGTACTCCAACCAGGAGTGCTACCAGAGCCCCGAGGACAAGCACCTCCTGGAGAGCATCAAGCAAGCCGTGAGGGGCATCCAGGTCTAAGCCCCCTAAGTGCAGAGGAACTGAGCAGCAGCCCCGGCCCCCAGTGGCCTCCCTGTCCCACTCCTCCTGGGGCGGCAAGCAGCCCTTCATGGGGTTCATCCCCAGGGCTGCCTGGAATCAGGGTCCCCCAGGACGCCCTGACAGGCTGGGGGGTCAAGATCCCTGCACACCCAGGCACGGGGACATGGAAGTCTTATAAAGTGATTTATTTTTGTTTTCTGAACAAAGTCTAAAGCGCAGCTCAAGTCTCCAGTGGAAGCTCACGGACCAGGTTCTCAGGGAAGTTTCAGAGTGTGCAACCACAGCATTCCTCTGTCTGTTGAGGTTGGGTGGGCGTGGCAGGCGGCGTCTCAACCTGGAGGATGCCCTGGTGGCTACGTGTCTGTGCTTGGTGAGGGCCTGTGTGGCCAGCGTGCTTTTTGCTTTCATTTAATTCAGTTTTGTGTTAGAGGCAGAACACAGCTCTGTTCCAGAGGAAAAGATAGGGATGGGCGTTCCAGACTCCTGGCGACCTGGCCTGTGTCTAGTCACTCATCCACCTGGGTCCTGATGCCATGCAGACCCCACTTCCTCTGGGGGCTGCAGCCCAAGACCCCACGTCTGGGCTTCAGGCTTGTGCTGGGTCTGCCTAGGCCACACTACCTGGGTTTTGGCCAGGCCTGACCCAGGTCGACAGGTCAGGGAGGTCGAAGTGAGCTGTCACTGGGGGGCCATTATGGTCTCACTGCTTTCTAAATCCTCTCAAGGGTTGAAAACGTGAATTCTAATGTAACGTGTTGAAAACACGTTTGTACCGTGTAAATAGAGCCCAAGTCAACAGCGAGTTAGCATTGAACAGTAGACACTGCTCTTCTCAGAAGAAATTAAATGGTAGTTTAGTTAATTATGTAAATTGTTTCAGTTTGTCAAGATGTATTTATATTCACAACCTCATATGTTCATGTTTGTTATTTATTTAACATTTTTATTAATTTATTAATTTTATACTATTTCCAACTCGACCCCATACTAGGGCACCTAGAGGGAACTAAGAAATCAAAGCAAAAATAATTTGCAAAAATATTTGACTATAAGCCACAAAAAATCTTGATAGAACTTCTAGTTATAATTTTGATGCAACCAAGTTATTTTTTATACATTTTGTTATTTATTCTTTTAATAATAGAATTTTTAAAAAAGTATTTTGTAACTGAAGGATTGTGATAATTTGGGGATGTTTCCCCCTTGGTCCAGTGGAGAGAAAGAGATTTTGTTTTTCTTCTTCCCTTTCTTTTGTTTCCGCACAGATAAAGCAGGTGGAATTCTGTATTTATTATTATTTATCGTAGCGCAAGTGTGTGCTCTGGCGTGTTTCTCGTGTTGCATTGTGTGTTGGTTGCCATGGCTGAGTCACGTGCTGTGAGTGGCAAAGGGTTGTCATGTTTGTGTGTTGGTTGTCATGGCTGCAGGTGGCGCTGTCCCAGGCAGCCTGTCTTACCCACCCCAACAGCCCCCAATGCTGTGATCCTCCTTCCTCAGGAAATGCGTTTGACCCACAGCACTTGGTAGTGTGTCTGTAGGGGATTTCCTAATAAAAGTCTGTTCTGATTGGGGGCCTGTGCCGTGGTCTCTGGGCTGTTGCCTGGGAGGGAGGAGTGGTGTTTTCTAACACAGAATTGGGGTTTACCAGCCAGAATCTCTTGTTGCAGTGTCTTTGCCCCGGGCCCGCACCATCAGGCAGGCACAGAATTGAATGTCTTTCTGTTCACAGTGCTAGAGTTGGGCTGCCGAAGGGCATCTTTTTTGGCTCCAAGAGGGAAGCTGCCTGTAGTTGCAGAGAGTTCAGGGGGAAATGGGAGAAGATGGGGAGGAAGAGCACCCTTGGGAGCACCTCGGTCCAGCCTCACCTAAAGGCAGAATACCTTTGGTCTGCCCAGGTTTGTTTCTTACTTAAGATAATGAAGGAGAAAAAACAAAAAATACAATGAAGGGACCTGTGCCCGCCCTGGTGGCAGCCCACTGGGTGCCCCACTTCCCTTCCAGCTCCCTGCCTGTGACCTATGAAAACTGTCAAGGATGGCTCAAAACCTTGGGACCCTGCACCCGTGTGGGAGACCCAGAAGAAGCTCCTGGTTCCTGGCTTTCGATTGGCTTCAATCTGGCTGTTGCAGCCGCTTGGGAAGTGAATCAGCCGATGGAAGATCTTTCTCTGTGTATCTGACTCTCCAATAAAAATAAATAAATTAAGAAAGAAAAAGATAATGCAGTTGGCGTTTTTGGTCTTGCAGGAGTGTGTGATCTCAGCTTTGTGTGAGGTGGAACCTTATCCCCTTCCCCCCAGTAACAACCTATTGTCTATGGAGGGGGTTCCTCTGCCAGATACTGATATCAGTAAATCTGAACCAGGCTTCGCCCAGCTACAGCTTCTGGGGGATAATGGCTGTTGAAATATATGCTGTGGGTTTTATATTAGCAACTAGATCTTGGAGTGAAGCTGTTGGGGTCTTTTCCCATCACTACTGCTTGCTTCAAGTTTTGCACAACTGTTTTAAAGTTATATTTTGCTGTAATTTGAAAACTTGTAAAAGAGCCATCGAACCACAGGGCTTAGGGCACTGTGAGTTGGAGGTGACAGCACAGCCTCCTTTCCCTGGTTCTTGCACCCTAGCTCAGGCTCTTCCTCTTAGGTAACCACCAGTGGACCAGTGTGGGAAGCACAGGCCTGGGAGACTGTGTTCACCAGCCCTCCTGTGCTCACCACCCAGCCCTGCTGTTCAAGGGGAAGCCAGCTCACCATGGGAGCACAGGTGCCAAGGCCTTAGAACAACCAGCACTGAACCAAGTGGGTCTGGGTCTTGCCATGAGGGGCTGCCGTTGGTTAGGGTTATGGTCAGGGTTGGGGTTGTTAGGGTCAGGGTCAGAGTGTGGGTTAGGGTCAGGGTCTTATGATTTTGAAGTAATAACAAAAATAGGGCTTTCTCCTTCTCAATATTTATAGTGGAAAATGTAAAGAAGTGATATGGCTAAGGAAAAATTGCGATCCTTAGAAGCATCAGATCGGCAACTTGCTGGAGGGGGGCAGTTGACTTATGATATGTTGATTGAAGATGGACAGTGGATTACTACAGAGCAACAGATACAGCTACCTCAAGCTGCACTCACCCATATACGAGACATAGCATTGTGGGCATGGAAGAAAATCGAAACTGTGTCTGAATTTGCAGGCAGTTATACAAAAGTCATCCAAGGAGCCAGAGAATCTTATGCTGATTTTATAAGATGTTTGACAGACTCCATAGAAAACCAAGTTAGCGGGCCCGGCGCGGTGGCGCAAGTGGTTAAAGGTCCTCGCCTTGCACACCCGGGATCCCATATGGGCGCCGGTTCTAATCCCAGCAGCCCCGCTTCCCTTCCAGCCTGTGGCCCGGGAAAGCATTCGAGGATGGCCCAAGGCTTTGGGACCCTGCACCCGTGTGGGAGACCCGGAAGAGGCTCCTGGCTTCGGATCAGCATAGTATCGACCCGTTGCGCTCACTTGGGGAGTGAATCATCGGACGGAAGATCTTGCTCTCTGTCTCTCCTCTCTGTATATCCGCCTTTCCAATGAAAAAATAATAAAAATAAATCTTTAAAAAAAATAATAGAAATAAATCTTAAAAAAAAAAAAAGAAAAAAGAAAACCAAGTTAGCGGAGAAGGCGCTAGGAAATTGTTATTAAAACAACTGGCCTTTGATAATGCGGACGAGGACTGCCAGACTGTTATTTGTCCTATAAAACAAACGGGATCTTCTGTGTTACCTGAAAGCCTGTGGAAACCTATGGACATTTAAACACCGTGCCCACCTAGCAGCACTTGAAACTTTTGCCATTCAAAAGCAAATGAATGCTAAATGTTTTAATTGTGGCAAGCCAGGACAGCTTAGAAAAAATTGTTGAATGCTTCCTTCAACTAAAAATACCGTGTTGGTACTTTTAACAGTCATTCCCCAGGAATATGTCCTAAGTGCCAAAGAGGCCGGAACTGGAAAAAAGAATGTAAATCCAAATTTGATCATGATGGCAGATGCCTGTGTCCAGAAGACTCCTGGAGAGGCCAGCCCCAGGTCCCAAACATTCAGAGGTTTACAAAACAGGAATATCTTATTCAATTTGTGCCTGTGGAGAAGCTACAAATAAAACTGCCACTGTCTCAATGCCCCACCTGTGCTCGTCACCCTGCAAGTATAAATCCTGGAGGATGAAATTTCAATCAATTGTCGTGAATGCATGTTATTCATATAGCACTTATTCCTATACTGCAGTGCTTTACCATATATGTTAATTTTTAAGTACAAGTTTTTATATTAAGTTAATCTTTATGTTTTCTGTCTCATGAAGTCCTTATTGTTTAAAATTAACAAAAGTGATGTTCTTGCTTTAAGGAGCATTTGGGTGATGGCATTATATCATTATAAGGTGAATGTTTGCTGTTTTGTGTGTTAATGTACCCAGGTTGTTCACTGCATGTCTTGTGGAGTATTTAATATTGTTGAGGAAGCTGGACTACAGGCCTTCAGTTCAACAGCTAGATTTCAAAGTAATGACCATTTTTCTCTTGAGGTTTTGATTCTGTTGCCTGGACACCCACATTGTAAATATCTTTATAAAATGAGAAAAAAGAGAAAGTCAAGGAAAAGGACCTGGCACTATAGCGTAGTGGTTAAGGTCCTCGCCTTGAACGTGCCGGGGTCCCATATGGGCACTGGCTCTTATCCCAGCAGCTCTACTTCCCACCCATCTCCCTGCTTGTGGCCTGGGAAAGCAGTTGAGGATGGCCCAAGTCCTTAGGACCCTGCACCCGCGTGGGAGACCCGGGAAGAAGTTCTTGGCTCCTGGCTTTGGATCAGCTCAGCACTGGCCATTGTGGCCACTTGACGAGTAAATCATGGGATGGAAGATCTTCCTCTGTCTCTCCTTCTCTTTGTATATATATCTGACTTTGTCATGAAAATAAATAAATCTTAAAAAAAAAAGAATTATA